ATATTTTTATTTTATTTTTTCATTTAAAATGATATACCCTAATTGACATATCATTTTAACAGTTGGTCAGGTAGAAAAAATAATGATTTTTAGGGTAACTGCCAGAATTCAAGCACGTATATATATTGTTAAGCACTTGAATTTACTTATTATATATATACAGCCGCTGTTTAGCTGATTTCTTGGAGATATAAAAGAGCTTTAATTATTACGAGAATAATATTCATGTTTTTTATTCCAAGTATAATATCAAGAAGTTTGAATAATTCAATTTTTATTTGGTTATTAATGAAGATTTACATAAGATATTATTGTGAAAAGATTTCTGCTTAACATTCTTAAAAACTTAAATTTTAGTCTAAATAATTTCAAACTGTTTGCCTATTTACCTCTGACTTATTTGGGAGGTAAATACTTTTGCTTCATACTACAACAAGACTGCTGCTCAGAAAGTTATACTCATATCAGAGATTTCTCGCACATAAAGAAAGAGGGTGGTGTTAGTATAGCCATGCTCATACTTAACTATTACTTACCGATATATTCGACCACCAGTTATTCAAACCATTGCTCCCATCACATCCTGTCCCATCCCATCCCATCGTATCGTATCGTAGTCGTATCGTATCGTATCCCATCCCATCCCATCACATCACATCGTATCGTATCGTATCGTAATCGTAATCGTAAAGACTTGCTGTTCGGATAGTTATACTCATATCAGAGATTTCTCGCACATAAAGAAAGAGGGTGGTGTTAGTATAGCCATGCTCATACTTAACTATTACTTACCGATATATTCGACCACCAGTTATTCAAACCATTGCTCCCATCACATCCTGTCCCATCCCATCCCATCGTATCGTATCGTAGTCGTATCGTATCGTATCCCATCCCATCACATCACATCGTATCGTATCGTATCGTAATCGTAATCGTAAAGACTTGCTGTTCGGATAGTTATACTCATATCAGAGATTTCTCGCACATAAAGAAAGAGGGTGGTGTTAGTATAGCCATGCTCATACTTAACTATTACTTACCGATATATTCGACCACCAGTTATTCAAACCATTGCTCCCATCACATCCTGTCCCATCCCATCCCATCACATCCCATCGTATCGTATCGTAATCGTATCGTAATCGTATCGTATCGTATCGTATCCCATCCCATCCCATCACATCACATCACATCGTATCGTAATCGTAATCGTAAAGACTTGCTGTTCGGATAGTTATACTCATATCAGAGATTTCTCGCACATAAAGAAAGAGGGTGGTGTTAGTATAGCCATGCTCATACTTAACTATTTACTTACCGATATATTCGCCAACCAGTTATTCAAACCGTTGCTTCCATCACATCCTGTCCCATCCCATCACATCCCATCGTATCGTATCGTATCGTAATCGTAATCGTATCGTATCGTATCGTATCCCATCCCATCACATCACATCACATCGTATCGTAATCGTAATCGTAAAGACTTGTTGTTCGGATAGTTATACTCATATCAGAGATTTCTCGCACATAAAGAAAGAGGGTGGTGTTAGTATAGCCATGCTCATACTTAACTATTACTTACCGATATATTCGACGGCCAGTTATTCAAACCATTGCTTCCATCACATCCTGTCCCATCCCATCACATCCCATCGTATCGTATCGTATCGTATCGTAATCGTATCGTATCGTATCGTATCCCATCCCATCACATCACATCACATCACATCGTATCGTAATCGTAATCGTAAAGACTTGTTGTTCGGATAGTTATACTCATATCAGAGATTTCTCGCACATAAAGAAAGAGGGTGGTGTTAGTATAGCCATGCTCATACTTAACTATTACTTACCGATATATTCGACCACCAGTTATTCAAACCATTGCTCCCATCACATCCTGTCCCATCCCATCCCATCGTATCGTATCGTAGTCGTATCGTATCGTATCCCATCCCATCCCATCACATCACATCGTATCGTATCGTATCGTAATCGTAATCGTAAAGACTTGCTGTTCGGATAGTTATACTCATATCAGAGATTTCTCGCACATAAAGAAAGAGGGTGGTGTTAGTATAGCCATGCTCATACTTAACTATTACTTACCGATATATTCGCCAACCAGTTATTCAAACCGTTGCTTTCATCACATCCTGTCCCATCCCATCACATCACATCCCATCGTATCGTATCGTAATCGTATCGTAATCGTATCGTATCGTATCGTATCGTATCCCATCCCATCACATCACATCACATCGTATCGTAATCGTAATTGCAAAGACTTGCTGTTCGGAGAGTTATACTCATATCAGAGATTTCTCGCACATAAAGAAAGAGGGTGGTGTTAGTATAGCCATGCTCATACTTAACTATTTACTTACCGATATATTCGCCAACCAGTTATTCAAACCGTTGCTTCCATCACATCCTGTCCCATCCCATCACATCCCATCGTATCGTATCGTATTGTAATCGTAATCGTATCGTATCGTATCGTATCCCATCCCATCACATCACATCACATCGTATCGTAATCGTAATCGTAAAGACTTGTTGTTCGGATAGTTATACTCATATCAGAGATTTCTCGCACATAAAGAAAGAGGGTGGTGTTAGTATAGCCATGCTCATACTTAACTATTTACTTACCGATATATTTGCCAACCAGTTATTCAAACCGTTGCTTTCATCACATCCTGTCCCATCCCATCACATCACATCCCATCGTATCGTATCGTAATCGTATCGTAATCGTATCGTATCGTATCGTATCCCATCCCATCCCATCACATCACATCACATCGTATCGTAATCGTAATCGTAAAGACTTGCTGTTCGGATAGTTATACTCATATCAGAGATTTCTCGCACATAAAGAAAGAGGGTGGTGTTAGTATAGCCATGCTCATACTTAACTATTTACTTACCGATATATTCGCCAACCAGTTATTCAAACCGTTGCTTCCATCACATCCTGTCCCATCCCATCACATCCCATCGTATCGTATCGTATCGTAATCGTAATCGTATCGTATCGTATCGTATCCCATCCCATCACATCACATCACATCGTATCGTAATCGTAATCGTAAAGACTTGTTGTTCGGATAGTTATACTCATATCAGAGATTTCTCGCACATAAAGAAAGAGGGTGGTGTTAGTATAGCCATGCTCATACTTAACTATTACTTACCGATATATTCGACCACCAGTTATTCAAACCATTGCTCCCATCACATCCTGTCCCATCCCATCCCATCGTATCGTATCGTAGTCGTATCGTATCGTATCCCATCCCATCACATCACATCGTATCGTATCGTATCGTAATCGTAATCGTAAAGACTTGCTGTTCGGATAGTTATACTCATATCAGAGATTTCTCGCACATAAAGAAAGAGGGTGGTGTTAGTATAGCCATGCTCATACTTAACTATTTACTTACCGATATATTTGCCAACCAGTTATTCAAACCGTTGCTTTCATCACATCCTGTCCCATCCCATCACATCACATCCCATCGTATCGTATCGTAATCGTATCGTAATCGTATCGTATCGTATCGTATCCCATCCCATCCCATCACATCACATCACATCGTATCGTAATCGTAATCGTA